CATGCTCTTCCTCTGTTTCCTCGCCATCATCTTCAACCTCATACTGCTCCCCGTCAACGAGAACATGAAGAACGTCATCGTCGTCGTCCCGCCCGTCGATTTCAACGTAGCGGGGGTAAGAGCCCGGCATAGGGAACCCGAAACGCTTAGACAATGCAAAAATCGCGTTGCTTTCTTCGAATCTTCTAGCCCTAGCCGGCGTCTCAATCTCAGCTATGAAATCCGATTTCGTATCGGAAGCTTCGACAGTTTCGTTGGTGCTTCGGAGTTGAGAGATCAGTGGAAAGTGAGAGTTCCCTCATAAGGGAATTGCTTCCCGCTCGTATTTATTCTGCCTTGGATTTTGAACCACACGGAAAGTGAAAACGCACGCTTTTAATTTTCAATTCTATTATTAATTATTTTTAGTGCTCATTTTGAAGATAAGTATCTATTAAGTCTTGGATTTCTTCTAAATAGTTCTTTTTAACTTATTTAATTTTTAGTTAACTAATATAAAAATTATGTGACATAATTAAGTTGTCAAATTTTAAACGACGTAAAAATATTCAAATAATTTTATATTATTTTTATGTTACGTGTAATTTTTGTTTATCTTCGCCTCACCCTTCCGTTTCTCTTTTTCAATTCTCTCTCGAACACAGGAAAAAATTAGGTCGGCCAAGTAGTTGCGAACGTAATTGAGAGATCATCGAAGACGGCGTGATAGTGAATTTGTAGACTTTGAATTTCAAGTAAGGGAATGAATGAAGTGGTGATGGTGATTCCGAGGACGTCGGTGTCAATGGAGGCAAGCTGGTCACATTTGTGATAAGTTACTCTTCCGGCTCCTGTATGTTTTGACATATAACCAATAATTAATATTGATAAATAATCATGTAAATCTAGAATTATTTCAAGGTTAAAAAACTATTTTAATCTCCTTATACTTCATAAGGATTTAATCCACAAATATTAATGTAAATCAAAAAATTTAAAAATAGTTATTTTAAGGTTGGAAAACACTTTATTTAGTCCACAAATATTCATGTAAATAAAGAAAACCAAATAATTTAAAATTATTATTTTAAGGTACTTAAAAGTACTGTTTGGTCGTGTACTTTCATCAAAATAACAATTTAAAGTTAGCTGGCCATTATGGTATTTGTTTACCCAAAGTTGTTGTCTCATCCTCTCTAACTATTTTCTCCTGATCTTACAATATTTACCGTCGGATAACACATTAATTCCTAAGGTAGATGGCCATTATGGAGTTTGAATTCATTTCCTCACAATTTATCTTAACTCCTTTAGACCAATGAGCTACCCATGATGGTTTAAATTCCTTTGACTATATTATGAAAGTTGTGTAATTATAATTAGTTTTCTCAAAATGTGTTTAATAACAACTCAATTTAATGTTCCATACACTTTTAAAGTGATTTTTTTACATAATTTTGCATGATTAACGTGAATCATCAAATCACTCGAAAAGGTATTATGGAGGGAAGATTTTGTCTTCATCAGTAGTTAATCTCATTCATTATGAACTCCAAAGTATGAGTCTAATTGCCAAGGTCTTAAAAACTTCATAGAATGAAATGAATCAATTGAAATTAGAAAAAGTTGAGACCGAGAAATTTCTAGAGAGAGAACAAAAGTTTGAGAGAGAGAGTGGTAAAAGTTTTGGTGAGAGAAAAACGGTTAAAAGTGATACATTTTATTTTCTAGGAGGGAGAAAATAGTTAGAGTGGGCGAGACAACAATTTTGGGGAGTAAACAAGTTAGAGTGGGGGAGATAAATTTTAAAGATAAACAGTTAAAGAAAGGGACAAGTTTTACCAAGAAAATGTTTAGAGAGATAAATAAAGCAAGAGAGAGAAAGAAAGTTCTGGAGAGGAAAAATAGTTACAAAGAGCAAGGAATGGAAACTTTAGGTAGAAAATGTTACAGAAAGTGAAAATAACTTAAAGAAACTAGAAGTTGAGAAAAAATTAGAGATAAATAAAGCTAGAAAGAGATAGAAAATTGAAAATTTCCCAAAATTAGGGCACAATGGAGTGAAATGGAATGGTTTTTTTGTATTTAAAAGAATAATTATTTACCAAGGTGTGTCAGTCGCACAATTATTTAAAAATCATCCCATTTACGACTCCCAAAATCACTTCAAAAGTAATTTTGTTTCTTTCCCAAAATCGCCAGCATAACTACAAAAGAGATGATTTTAGTGATGGCAAAATTGATTAGGACCCTGCCAATATCACTCCCCTAAACATGCCCATTGCCAGGAAGAAGAAAAAAGCTCCACCTTTCTCCACTATTTGAATATATTAAACCAAGGACTTCTAAAACAGCTCCCCTTCACGGTGGATAGTCGGCTCATAGAAGAAATGCCACCCCCATTTATCCAACATGGTAGAACTTTTTATCTTCAATCCCATAATACCTAAGCTATATCCATATACTTTTTTTTTTCCTTAACCGGGAATCGGAGCTTTGCTCTCCTATACCCATGGATACCCACACCTGTTCCAAGGCTCGGATCTGGGAGACATCAAGAATTTTTGGTATTAAGTTCACCAAAAGGTTCGAATTTAAGACCTCTGAGCTAGTATGACCAGGAGACCCAAATTATTGCCAACAGGACTGTCCTTGAGAGCTTAAACCATATTCATGCACTGCCACCAAGAGACCTTGAAAATCCATTCGACAGATGTTTTTGAAGCAACCTCTAGAAACTATTGCCCTCTCTGTTGGTTTCCCATAATCGTTCTACATTTTAAAAGCAGATTGTAAACAATATTACTATTATTTATAGTCAGGTTGATTTGGCGTCTCATCCCACTCGTATTCTTATTCCCAATCTCCATTTTCCATTTTCTTGCCATTTCAACTTATCTTCTTAATTCACACAATATCTTACACAACTAGTGAATCTTCTATCAATTCATCCCCCAAAAGTCACAATACTAGGTAAAGAATTGTAAAGATCTCTTTTTACCTCTCCTCCTAAAAGAATTTAACATCCACCATTCAATACGTTTTGCATCCATGGGAAGAGACTTTGTTTTAAACTTTTTAGCTACTATTTTTGCAAATGAGAACTCTGTCTTCACTCATCCAATCAATAATATTAAAAGAGTGACATAGGACTATTAGCTACTATTTTTGAAAACCATCGGAAAAAAAGAAGCATATTCTCAATCCTAATTGCACATTGAATTAAACCTCCAAATTAACTAAACGGTTGTGGCGTTTATTCAGGAATCTAATGCTTTATGGTGGGGGACTATTGAGAATAAATATAGGTCTAATCCTTTTGCTTGGGTCTCAGGTAGTGGTCCTGGGATTTCTGGCAAGTGCCCCTGGAAAGTTCTCTCTTCTATCTTTCTCACCTTTTTGTTTCTTGCTCTATCTAGGATGGCACTGAAACCTATTTCTGGAAAGATTGTTGGATGGATGACAAGCCCTTTTGTCTCTTATTCCCTTTCTTATCCCACCTTTCGATGATGAGGTTACATTCAGTGGCCTCTGTTATGGGGTATTGGGAAAATCCCCCTTCCATTTCTTTGGGTCTCTTTCGACCTTGACGGATATGGAAGCACATGAGGTAACTGCATTGCCTGCTTTGTTAGGTGACGTCCGTTTCGTGCACGGGAGGAAAGACATTAGGTCTTGGGCGCCAAACCCGTCTTTGGATTTCACTTGCAGTTCCTTTCTTCAACTTCGAATTGCTCCATCGCTCTCCTTAACACCTCGTTTTTTCCCTCCCTCTGGAAGGTAAAGTTTCCGAAGAAGGTTCAAGCTGCCTGACAGGCTCTACGTGGGGAAGTTAATACCTTAGACCGTATTTAGATATATTCTTCCTTGTTGAGGTTTTCAGAGGCGTCCTCCTCAAAAATGAGGATCTTAACCATATTTTATGGGGGTGTCAGTTTGCTCACCTTATTTGGAATCAGTTTCTAAATGTTTTTAGGGTCTCTTGGGCGAGTAATAGGGATTGTAAGGCTTCATTAGAGGAGGTGGTGTTGTTCCCGCCCTTTCAGGATAAAGGACTCCTGTTATGGCAGACTTGTTTTTTTGCCATCTTGTGGGGTGTTTGGATTGAAAGGAATAAAAGAATTTTCAAGGGAGTTGAGAGGTTTTGGGAGAGGTGGGAGCTGGTTAGATTTAATACCTCTCTTTGGATTTCGGGGTCCAAAGGCTTTTTTATAAAT